AAGTGTGTAATCAATAAAAGATGAGAACTAATAATTTGAGAATATAATCTTAATGTTACTAAACCACTTCACGTCAATTAAGTTGGAGAGTGTTGTTGGATAGTATCCGATGAATCCACGAATAACGCATCTTTGTCTCCGTAGTTCTCAATATGCACATCAACAATCTTAAATATTAGGCCGCCTAGCTATGCCATATATTAATTTCAAACTTATGAACTTTGGGGTTGCATGCAATAAAAAATATATTTTAAATATACTAAGGGTACATTATATATGTATGTAAGGTACTTTCAATATAAAAATAATGTATTTTTAATATATTAAAAATGTATTTAATATTCATGATCCATACAATTATGTGGACCATTGTTCCTCACAATAATTTGCCAGTAGAAATTGAAATATAAATAAATATAGTAAATAAATATATACTCCGTATATATATATTAGATAGAAACTGTTCGTGTAAATTATTATCATTATAATTATTATTGCAATTATTATTATTATTATTATTGTTATTATAATTAATAATATTATTATGGTTTTGTGAAAATTAAATGTTGATTATCAACATTTAATTTTCACAATAACAATATTATTATGGTCTTGTGAAAATTAAATGTTAATTATCACCATTTAATTTTCACAAGACCATATGGCTTTATTATATATAGGATTAATATAATTATTACTCCGTATCATGAGGTTGGTGTTATTTCCAAATTCCACTTTTGTATGACTATAAAAATTGCTGTTATAAATGCACCACATCTGTTTTATTCTATTCCTACTTCTTTTAGTGAACATCTATTAGACTTTGTTATATAATTGGTGAGTAACTAAATTTTTGGACAAAAATATTCATTCATGTGACATGCTCTTAAAGCATGGTTGAAAAAATTGCTAGGCGCTAGTCGGACGCACCTAGGCGCCCGTGTACTTTTATTTTTACAAATTTATTTAAATTTTTTTATTTTTTTAAGACTTGATAATTATAAACTATTTAATACTTTAATAGTTAATACTAAAATATTAATTATTAAGTATTAACCCAAAAAAACATCTAGAGCTTGAACAATTTATGGTTATTTCGCTCAAAATGATGTCGTTTAGAGTGAAATAATCTATTTAAAAAGGAAGGAAACAATAGCTAATCGGTTGACTAGGCGACCTAGTCGGTGCCTAGGCAGCCTAGTCGATGCCTAGGCGGTCTAGTCAACCAGTCCAGACCACCGATTATGGTGAAGCGCTATGCAGCCGACCAGTGCCTAGCGCATAGGCACAGATTAATCGGTGCCTAGGCGAAATTTTGCAACACTGATAAAAAAATCTATGATTTTTACCCATAAATTTTAGTTATTCAAAATGATGTGATAAAATTTAAAAAAATTTCACCAAATTTCTTGACAAAATCACTAAGAGTTCAAAAAGAAAATAAAAAATTATATATGACTATATTAGTGACACTTTTTACAATCGTGTCTTAAAAATGTCTTCAAACTTGTGAAATCAAATGCAATAAAAATTATTACTCTTTTTGTCTCATTTTACCTATCATGTTTACTATTTATTAATAAAATAATTTTTTTTAATTATTGTTTTTTAAATATTTTAAATTTAACTTTCGTGTTTAATTGTACTTTTAATTTATTTTTTAAATATATAAATTAAGCCTGATTACTTGAATCAAACACATAAAAATGAAAATTATAAATTATATATGTTGGTCGTGGGTTGCACAATACGACAGCCTCAGCAACTTGCAGCAGCTACCAGATCCGATCTGCTTTAGCTGAGGCCATTCTGTCATGGGACCCACTATATATAAACACCGTAAAGCGTTAAACACGTCCAACACCTTCAAGATCTGATCTTTCTTTTTATTGGGTTTGCCGTTTTATATCGCGGTCGACTCCACCGACACAACCAAGGTGGCGGTGGTGGCCCAAGATCCACCGTGACCTGTCGGCGGAGCTCATCAATAAATAATCCATGCGCCGCGTAGGAACATCATCAAGCTTCAAACGGATCAAAACCGTTACTTGTACTTGTGTGAGTGTTGATTACTGCCCGCAAGAGTAGCTCAACTGGTCATAGACGTAAAAGTTAGAAATAATGACCAGTGATCGAGTCTTATCAGCAGCAGTGTACTTACTTGTAGTACTTGCAATAAGTAAAGGTCTAGTCGCAAGGGCAGCTCAACTGATTATAGATGTAAAAGTTGAAAAGAATGACCAGGGCTCACCCGCGGCAATGCGGCAATGTACTTATTTGCAGTAAGTAAAGGTCTAGCCTCAATGCTCTGTCGGGTTGGAGTTCAACCTTTTAGAAAGAGTGAGTATTGATTACTTACTTACCACCTATGAGTCACACATTTACGAGCTAGGTTAAATTTGGAGAGTATATTGTACTCAACCATATTGTATCTTACAATTGAGTTGTCAGAACTGCATTTTGTAATTTTTCAAAACTAACTTGCTAAGCTGATTTTTAAAAAATGTTATTACTCAACTCAACTACATTGTATTGCAATTCAAAGAAATTGCACGATTACAGTCAGCCTGCTAAGAGTTAATAAATAGAAAAGGGAAAATGGCACTTTTTCCCCTATGTTATATATTTATAGCACTTTTTCCCCCTTAATTATTTAAGTGGCTCTTTTTCCCCCTGAAATGTTAAATGGACATATTTACCCTTAAAATAAATATTTCATTTATTTTTATTCTCCAATAAATTATTACTATAATTTGGTTCAAACCAGATACTATAGTAACCAAACCAAAATATTTCAATTACAATTTATAATCAAAATGCGATATTTAGAGTTTATTAAAAACGCGAACTGGAATGGCCGGTTCATGTTCCGAACTGAAAAATAAAATACATTTATTGTTGAATTTAAACTATTTTAAAATAAAAAATAAAATTTTAAAATAAAGATGGTTCAAAATCGCGAACGGGATCCGGAACCGCCGGTTCATGATCCAGTTTTTTTTTATTCTTAAATTTAATAAATTGAAATCCAAATATTGGGTTCTAGATCTGAATCATAACTGAAAACTTTTAATTCGATTGCTATAGTGTCTGGTTCAGTTCGAACCGAACCGTGGTAATCGCTACATATACGCAATAATTTGTTGGAGAAGTAAAATAAATAAAATGTTTACTTTAAGGGTAGAAATGTCAATTTAATATATTAGGGGAGAAAACCACCACTTTTAAAATAATTGAGGGGACTAATGTGCTTACATAAATAATTGAGGGGGAAAAAGTGCTTTAAGTATATAACATAGGGGGAAAAAGTGCCATTTTCCCAATAGAAAATTTTTGACTTTCAAAACCCTGACACTCACATTTGATCTTAATTATTAAAATTGTTAAATTTGATGCATGATTATGCAATTCTTGCCACATTTAGTCTCGTTAGTTGATCAATTTATAAGTCAAATCTCTATATAATCTCATAAATGAGTATCACCTGAGAATTTTAAGAAGGCATTTCTATCTTGTTAATCTCATTAATGAGTATCCCCATTAACTTGTCGCATAATCTTCTCATTAGTACTATTTTTTTGAACTTCGACACTTGTCAGACCCTAGAGAGCTTCAACATCTCACACAATCAACTCATTAGTTTGTTACCTTCTTCAATCTCAATATTCTCAAGTGTGTTTGCCAAAAAATGAAGGGATGAATTTTTTTTTAAAGAAATGCATATTTTTATTTTCAGGCTATTATGTAAGAGTATAATTTACTTTTAATGTACAATTTTAAAGTATAATTTACTTAATGTACGCTTTTGAAGTATAAATATAAATTTTTCTCATCGCTTAAAAAAAGAAAAGAAAATAAGGACTATGTGGTCTAATGGTACCCGAGTTGGACTTTCATTTGGAAGGTTGTGAGTTCGAGCCTCAGTAGAGCCAGATACTACAATGTAATAGAGCCACTAGTATTTAAAAAAAAAAAAAGAAGAAACACATGGTTCATATTAGTTAGCAAATGAAAAGGGTTAAGATCGAATAGTCGAGCGCTGGACCACACATAAGGCAGCAACATATATGCCAAACTTGATAGTGCAACAACACATATGCACAATTACAGTTTTAGCCATAATTAGAGAATTTATTAGCCATAATTAGAGAATTTATTAATAGGGTTAATTTTATGACTGCTGCTATATTTCTTCATTGAGTGACGAAGAGGACCGCAACTACTATTAGTATATTGGATAAACTTCACCTTGTGATTCTAGCCGATAAAGAATCGCAAAGAGTAGGGGTGTGCAAATTTTAAATAATTTTCAGTTAACTGACCGAATCGATAAAGTTCAGTTAACCATTTTTTAACCAAACTTTTTCAGTTCGGTTGATGGTTAAAAGATTTTTAAAACTTCGATTAACGACTTAACGGTTAATTCAGTTCAAAAGTGTCGGTTAACCAAATTAACCGAAGTTTTAAATATATATATATATATATATATATATATATAATTTTAAATGTAAGTATGTAACCCTACTACTCTCGTCTCCCATTGAAATTAGAAATCAAAATTATCCACTCCCTAATGAATTTATTATTATATGTATTATTTTAATTAGATTTATTATTATAGGTGTTATTTTTAGAATTTTAAATTTTAGTTTAAAAAATTCGGTTAACCGAAAAAATTTCGGCGGTTAATTCGGTAACACAAATTTCGGTTCGGTTAACGGCTACAGGTTTTAAAACTTCGGTTAAAACGGTTCAGTTAACCAAACACACACCCCTAGCAAAGAGGTAAACCAAACTAGGTTGATTGTCTCAAACCAAAAAGGCCAATAAACTGCTCATGTAGAGAGTCAAACTTGTAACATTGCTCTTACTAAATCGATAATCTGACTAACTTGGTTGGGGCACCCACATTCTTCCTTGGCATAGAAACCATCACTGTTCCAGATGGTATGATTCTCACACAGCGGCGGTACATACGAGACATTCTGCAACGGGCAGGCATGACTGACTGCAAGCCGCTAGCCACACCAGCGTCCATTAGTCAACCAGTGAGCCAGTCCATCGAACCTTTTGACAATCCAACACAATACAGGCGACTTGCGGGGGCACTTCAGTATCTTTCCATCACTCGGCCGGACATATCCTATGCGGTCAACCGCCTATGTCAGTTTATGCACAATCCCACACAGGAGCATTGGGGTCTGCTCAAACGTGTCCTCCGCTATATAAAGGTGACGCTAGACTACGGGCTTCGCATCTCACCATCCAGGACCTCGGAAATACATGCTTACTCAGATTCTTTCTGGGCCGGATGTCTAGTGGATCGTAAGTCCACCAGCAGTTATGCTGTTTTCATAGGTACCAACCTTGTCTCATGGGTTTCTAGGAAACAGCGTACAGTGGCTCGTTCATCAACCGAAGCTGAATATAAAGGCTTAGCAGACGTCTGTGCAGAGGTGACATGGGTTCTATCGTTGCTACGAGAATTGGGCCTCGACTCTTCGGTACCACCGACTCTGTGGTGTGACAACCTCGGAGCTACATACTTATACGCCAACCCGGTGTTTCATGCACGCACCAAACATGTCGAGGTGGACTACCACTTTGTCTGAGAAAAAGTCTCGTCTGGCGAGTTTCGGGTTCACTTCGTCTCCACCAAGGATCAGCTCACTGACATTTTTACAAAACCACTACCAGCAGCTCGCTTCGGTGTTCAATACGTACCAAGCTCAATGTGGTGTGCCACCCACCTTGCTCTTGAGGGGGAGCGTTAGACTATGGTTTATTATTATTATTGTTATTATCCGATGTTAGTCTATAGCATATTAGTTAGTTCTCTCTCCTGAGAGTATTATTATTATAATCTGATTCTGTTATTGAATTGATTATCAGTTTCCATATTCATCGCCCTTACTATATTCTTTCTTGATTTTACATTTTAATGTTTACTTTCTTAATTAATTACATAGTAATATGTGATGAGTGTTATTTTTTTAAAAAAAATTGATTAAGAAGTAAATACAATTTCTAATGTGGGCGGGTCAATCAATTCACATCTATATATATATAAAAGTAAAATCCTCCTAACAAATTTCCCCCTCAAAACTTTTGTAGTAAAACTTATTTGGTAAGTAATCTATATATCTATATATATATATAAAAGTAAAATCCTCCTAACAAATTTTCCCCCCAAAACTTTTGTAGTAAAACTTATTTGGTAAGTAATTGTCAAATGGAAATTAAATAAAATCTATTAATTGGTAATATTATATATGGTATTATATTCTATAATATAATATAATTGATAATATTATTGTTCAATAAAAATATTATTGTTCAAGTATAAAATAAAATTAAAATAATAACAATAACAACAACAACAACAACAATAATAATAATAATAATAATAATAATAATAATAATAATAATCTATATATATATATATATATATATATATATATATATATATATATATATAAAAGTAAAATCCTCCTTCCAAATTTTTCCCTCAAAACTTAAGGATATTTGTGTAATATCTAAATTTAATTGATTAAAGAAATTATATACAATAATTGTTTGGGATGAATACTCACGTAAGAATACTATTTTAAACCAATGCAAAACAAATTAATTATGGTAGTAATATTTTGCATTATATACAAGAATTGTTTGGATGGATACTCACGTGTAAGAATGATATTTTAAACCAATGCAAAACAAATTAATTATGGTAATAATATTTTGCATTAGTATTTTAATATTCTTAAATGTATGAATACTCATGTAAGAATAATAACTTACAATCAAACCTAATAATTAATTATGGTAATAACATAACAATTTGCTATTTAAACCCTTCATTGTGCTAAACCCAAATCCCAAAGTTGTAAGCTTCCAACGTGCAGTGTTTCTGCCTTTGTACTCTCTTATTTACAACGATTCCCAATTCTCAATGGCGGCTGAACTTTACACCGAGATTGTTAGTACACAACTTCATCCTTGACTCCACTGGAATTCCATCAGGTTTAGAGTGCTCCGTGTCGTTCGTCTTCCAGAGACAAGAGGTAGTTCTGAAATCATAAACTCTATAGAGTGTGTAGTACATGATATAGAGATATTTTTTTTTACTATAATTTTAATCTTAATATTTTGTAATTTTAAAATTTTAGTTAATGCATATGATTTTATTTTATTTTTTTTCAATTTCAGGGGACTTTCTGTGAAGAGGTGGTCTATTGCTTACTTACATTGTTTTCCTTACCAAAGAAGAAGAATCAAATAATGACGAGTCTGTTTAGAGATGAATAATGCGGAATATGTCAACAATTTAACCTATTAAAATCTTGCTTTTGTTATGTTATTCGTTATTGTTATTTGTCACTTTTTAATCTATACTTCATATATCCTTAATTTATTCTTATTTTAATTTATTTTCTTATTTTAATATATTCTTAATTCTTAATTTACTCCTATTGCACACTATGTTTTTATTTTGCGAATTAAGATCATCCTCTTACGATTTAACAATTTAATCAAATTTAATTTATATTTATATAGTTTATTTAATAATTTAAGAATACAATTTTAGGAATATAGTTTCGATTTTACCAATTTTAATTTATGTACCTTATAACTAATTGACTAATTTATTTCACTAATTTTATATACCTTATAACTAATTCACTAATTTTCCACTGCTTATATTAAAATAATTTACACAGAATTTTTTAACCAATTCATAAATGAGTCAAGTCAATACAAAAATATTTTAAATATGGTAATGAATATTCTAATTATAAGTATGTAGTACCAAATAATTTTAAATGAGTAAATTGATTTACAAATGTTTTAATTATGGAATAATTAATTATGCAAATACAAATTGTAGAAGAATATGCCAAAATATAGACTAATTAATTATGGAACTATTTATTACTTTAGTAATATTGCACGCAATTTTTTACACATTTCATAAATACGTCAACTTTTTTTACATATTTTAAATTAGGTAATATATATTCTAATTATAAGTATGTAGTTTCGGATAATTTTAAATGAGTCAATTGAATAAAAAATATTTAGACTAGGGAATAATTAATCATGGTAATACAAAATGTAGAATAATATGTCAGAGTATATAGTAATTAATTATGGAAATATTAATTAGTTTAGTAATATTACACGGAATGCTTTGACCCAAATCATAAATTTGCATAAAATATATTTTAAATTAGGTAACATATATTCTAATTATAGGTATGTAGTACCAGAAAATTTTAAATGAGTCAATTGATTTAAAAATATTTAGATTATGGAATAATTAATTATGCTAATACAAATTGTAAAAGAATGTACCAGAATATACAGTAATTAATTTTGGAAATATTAATTAGTTTTAGTAATATTACACCAAATGCTTTGACCCAATTCATAAATGAGTCAATTAAATAAAAAATATTTTAAATTAGGTAATATATATTCTAATTATAAGTATGTAGTTTCGGATAATTTAAAATTACTCAATTGAATACAAAAAATATTAAGATTATTCAATATTTAATTATGCTAATAGACATTGTAGAAGAATATGGTATAATATAGACTAATTAATTTTGGAAATTGATATACGCTAATATTACACATAATGTTTCCATCCAATTCATAAATGAGTCAATTCAATAAAAAAATATTTTAAATATGGCAATAACTATTCTAATTATAAGTATATGTAGTACCGAATAATTTTAAATGAGTCAATTGAATAAAAAATAATTACACTCTGGAAAAAATTAATTATGGTAATACAAAATGTAGAAGAATTGAATCAGGCACAATATATACTATTTAATTATGGACATATTATTATGGTAATATTAAATGAAATTTTTGGAACCAATTTATTAATTAGTCAATTGAATAAAAAAAATTAAAATATGGTAATGAAATTCTAATTATAAGTATGTAGTACCGGATAATTCTTAATGAGTCAATTGGTTTAAAAATATTTAGTCTATGGAATCATTAATTTTGCTAATACATATTGCAGAAGAATATGCCAAAATATAGACTAATTAATTATGGACATAATATTATGCTAATATTACACGGGTTTTTTTTTAAACAAATTCATAAATGAGTCAATTGAATAAAAAAAAATTATAAATCTATACTATTATTAAAAACAAAATCATCCATTGTGTTTTCCTGCCCAAACTCTTCCACCCAAATAATTAATAATTAATAATATATTAATTAAAATAATAATAATAATTATTATTATTATTATAATAAAATTTAAAAATTTAAAAGTATCTATAATTTACTTATAATGTTAGGAGTCAAAAAGGAAAAATGAAAAATAATCCCTAATTCACTTAATCTATACTCTATACTATTATTAAAAATAAAATTATTCTTTGTGTTTTTCTGCCCAAACTCTTCCACCCAAACAATTAATAATTAATAATTCATTAATTAAAGATTTATAATAATAATAACAAAATAGAAAAATACAAAAGGATATATAATTTACTTATATTGTTAGGAGTAAAAAAAGGAAAAATAAAATTAATATACAATTACAAATAAATATAGCATGATTACATTTATTTTAATTAGTTTTAATTTCCTTAATGATATGACTTTTCTTTATCTGTTTTTTTATGGGAGACTAAGGAAGTGTTTGAGTTGCTGAAAATTATTTTAAATAAAAAAATAAAAAAATATTTTTAAAATATTTTTTAACCCCTCATAACATGTGTAAATGTTATATTTTTAAAAAAATACAATTAGATAAATATCATAATTTTTGTTTATAATAGTTAAAGAAAAAACTAAATAATTCAAAAATGTGAACCAATGATTTCAAAATAAAATTAATATACAGATACAAATAAATATAGCATGATTAGATTTACTTTAATTAATTTTAATTTTCTTAATAAAATGACTTTTATTTTTCAGTTTTTTATTAGAGACTAAGGGAGTGTTTGAGTTGTTGAAAAATATTTTAAAAATAAAAATACTTACTAATACAAAATAATTTTAAAATATTTTTTAATCCCTAAACATGAGAAAATTTTATATTTTAAAAAATACAATTTGATAAATATCATAAATTAATTATTGCAATATCATTTATGTTTACAACGAGAATAATTAAAGAAAAAATAAATAATTCAAATATGTGAACCAATGATTTCAAAATGAAATTAATATACAATTACAAATAAATATAGCATGATTAGATTTACTTTAATTAGTTTTAATTTCCTTAGTGAAATGACTTTAATAAAAGGAAAATCCTCATTTACAACAATACAGCCCAAATTTAATATGAATATTAATTAATTAGTAAAAAATAATAAATCATAATTGGTAACAAAATTTTATATGAAATCTAACTATTATGAATGCTCTAAGATCCCAGCAGATTAAGCAGTAAATAAATAGTTCACCAGCCACGAAGAAGTTAACAAGAGGAACAAGATGAAACATCGATTGGAGAACAAAGGTAACATCACAATGTATCTTTTTTTTTTTTTTTTAATGCTTTTTATCTCTATTTTCTTCATGTTTAGTAAAGATGCAATTATATACGAATAATACGATA